CATTTAGGAACTAGAGGAAAGTTGTATTTTTCATCGTTGCTACATCGCACCCTGACTGACTCATCTCTTCCCCAAGACCCCTCTGCAAGGGGATCTCCAGTGGCCTACCTTCAATATTTTTTGAAGCCTCCTTACAAGTATTACAAATATCTTTTCCTAGTCTGTGGCTTCTTTTCACAAGATTTAGGGTGATTTGTGTTGTTTTTTAATACTGTCAAATAAATTAATCTTTTCTTCCATGATTTGGTTTCAATCTCGCTCACTTTTAAGAAGTATTTCCCTAACTGAAGTCACGCTTCCATCTTTTTCTGTAACTTTTTGTTTTCTCCCTACATTTAGTTCTTCAGAACTATTTTAGTTATGTGAGGAAGGGATCAAATTTTGTCCTTCAATGTGGAAAACTAGTTATCCCAGAATCTCATGAATTTAAAACAACCCTTCCGTCTCCAAGGAAGTTCATAAGGTTACATTTGCTGAGGATGTGTATGTAAATAAGGAGTACGTGTGTGTATGTAAATAAGGAGTAAGTGTATGTGTTTTCAAACGCTACTTACTTATTTCAGTTCTGCCCTCTAAAACAAATGCGCATAATCCATAGGTACCTTCAAGTAGTGGAGGGGTGAAGTATTTTCAGGTTAATATCTCCAGTTCTTGCAATTCCTCCCAGAAAAAAGGTTTCCATCTGGCTGCCTTCCTATCTTTCAAAGTGCTTCTAAACATTTAGCACTGATGGTAACACAATACTTCAGACGTGGATGAGAAATAGAAAACACTGTTTCTCAAGTCAACACTTTCTGAATGCTTACCGTTTCTGTGTTCTCAACAAACCTTTATTATTGTTCATGTAGAAAATTGGATTACATTTTTTAACATACTCTCTGCTTCTTGTGAGTTAGCAATCGGCTATAAATCCGCAGACTTCTTCCAAAAGCACTAATACGTATCTAATCTCATATACCACTTTGTTTATTCAGTTGTATATGTGTGTGTTTTTTGTTTTTAATCTAAGCTCAGAATCTGATTATTGGGATCTTTCTGACTCCTGATCCGGTCATCTACTCTGCTACACTGTGTCTCTGATCCACTAACTCAACAGAAAAAAAGCAAAAGAAGAAGGCAGTTCAGTGTGACAAGGGCTAAAGTCTTAGTGATGCAATGCTACTCCCAACAATGAACTCACCTACCTACCTGTTCAAAAATTACCTATCCAGTCATTGATGCTAGAACTTTGCAGAAAATTGTCACAGCTTTCCATAATTTACCTGATCTCAAATTTGTAAGATTGAGAAGTCATGAAATTGTTCACTTACCTGAACATAATTGATAAAATCTTCCTTTAAAAGGGCTCTTCGCTGTATCCTGTATTCTAGATCCGAAGCCTTCTTAATGATAGCTCTAAGGAGGAAGCCATTTACAAAAGACTATTTGAAAAGGGCAAAAGTTAATGTCTTTAAAAGTCTCCTTAGTAAATAAAATAAAATAAAAAATAATAATAAAAAATAAAAGTCTCAGTATATAAAGGGGCTTCAAGAAGTTCGTGGGAAAATGGAATTAAAAGATAATGGAATTTCTCTGGGAACTTTTTGAAACCCCTTTGTATTTTTAATACATACTTATCAAAACACATAGGTAGCAAATACAAATATCTCTGGTATGCAAGCATTCTCACGTCATTACATCTGCATTCTTTACTGAATCTATTACCACGACCATTTACACTCCCATTACTTATATGTAGGTTCAAATCCACCAGCCACGTGCAAGGAGAAATGGTGCTATCTCTTCCCATAAAGACTGACAGCCACTCCAATCTCAGAAACCCCGGTGGGCAGTTCTATTCGGCACTATGGGGTTGCTATGAGACAGACTTGGACCCCATGGCAGTTGGTATTTTATTAAACAGTTGGTAGTATTAGAAAAGATCTTTTTCCCTCTCCAAACAGACTGCTTAGGTTTCAGTAAGAATCATTTCTTTCCTAAATGATTCCACGTCTGAATTTTCAACACACAGATTTCTTAAAAGTACTGGATTGAAAAGGTCTAGTATATAGTGAAAATTCAGTCCTTAGCTAAAGCCACGACTACACAACTTATACATGCTAGCGGAATCTAAGGCAAGATGTGGAAGTCAATTGTCTTTGCGTACAGTAACAGAGATTTACTGAGCACTTATTAAGAATCCATACTATTATGCTGCTTCATTCAAAATGTTATACTTGTAAAGTCCCCTAGGCACATTACTATACTCAGTCATTGCAAACCAAAGAAACGGAATCCACATAAAACGAATCAATTACTAAGTGCCAACTACGTGCCGGCGCTGTAGCTTCTCAGCACTGGGGTAACATGCGAAGCCGAGTGGACGGTCCCCATCTTCCAGTCTGGGAAGACGCATTCACCCCTCCTGGGTTCCCGACTTCACACCGCTAGAAAAGTCCATTCTTCTTCGACCCACTTACAGTACACGGTCATTTAACACACAGTGCGCTGTGAGCTCCCGTTTCTACATCATCTTTGTAACCCCACGACTGTCTACTAGTAGATAAAAGGAAAGCGGGAATGGATCGTCTTGCAATGGATGAGAAATTAATTCTAGGCATCATAAAAGCTCCGAAAATGAGCTTCT